CAGCTGCACCATGGCATGGAGGCTTCTATGAGAGAATGGTTGGTACAGTGAAGAGTGCCTTGAAAAAGGTAATGGGAACAGCGTTTCTGAAGGTCCAGGAGCTTGAGACCCTCTTGTATGAGGTTGACGCAGTGGTGAATAGTCGTCCGCTAACTTATGTGTCTGATAGCCTGGATGAGCCACCAGTAACCCCTGCAATGATGATGGGTGACATCTGGATGTCGTCAGAGAAGCCAGCAGGTACCCTGGACGCTGCGCAGATGTCATCGAGATTGCGTTACCTCAGTCGGACACTGGAGCATGTCAAGAATCGTTGGGAGGTGGAGTACCTAAGTCAGCTGAACAAACACCAACAGACCATGTCGCGCCCTTTAGCTGTGGGTGATGTTGTCTTTGTTCTCGATGATACCAAGCGCAAACAGTTCTGGCGTTTGGGACGGATCATCGAGTTATTCCCTGGTCGAGATGGTAAGCGTCGTGTTGCCAAGGTTAAGTTGAGTACCAGTACCCTGTTGAGGCCGATCCAAAGGTTAGTGCCGTTAGAAGTATCGTCACAGGACGTGGCTCCTGGCCTTGCTGATACCGCTCAACCTGCTATCGTCCCTCAGCAGCCAGCGTATGAACCGCCAGCACCGTTACCACCACCACGGCAGCAGGAGATGACGCGTTCTGGGCGCGTAGTCAGAGTCCCGGATCGTTTTTGACTTGTGTGCATTGTTGTACGGCGGTGAGAAGCCCTTTGGTGGGGAGAATGTTGTAAACCACCAGTTCTCAATTGGGAAAGGCCTTCGCGCTTATGGCATTGTATTCGTTGAAATGTTGTATTTCGACTCCGCCGTACCGCTGATGTTGCTGCATGGCATACGCTATATGCGTTGTGTGCGTTTTGCTGTATACGCTGTTATGTCCAGTTTTATATGCTTATGTTTTGCATGTACGCTGTTTTTGCATGCTATAAATAGCTGGTGTTATTAGTGTTCATTGTTAATTATTCGATGAGGTGAAATATACTGTCTAAAGGAAAAGAGTTGTCCTCGTGCCGTGTGGTCGTACGATCCTGACAATTTAGAGAATCTTAGAGGGTTCATAACACTCTGTGCTTTTCATGATTTTCAACGAAATCAACACTTTAGCGCATTTGGGGAATTCTCAGATTGCGCGGATGAGCCGCGCCAAGCTAAAAAGTGGCTTCGTTTTGCCAAAAAATCGAGAAATGACCAAAACGTCACGATTAACAAAAAAAATCGTGCGAGGGACAGCAATGATTCAAAATTTGAAATGGAGAGAGAAGACAGCTAGCTGTTGATCACGCGTTTGTTTTGTTTCCGAGGCTGTTAGTATTGTTCTGTGCTCGGTCATGGAGCGCAGGAAAAGCCTTAGCTTCTGAGGAGCTGAGCAGGATGATATTGAGGCCCTTCGTCGCCACGACGAATATTTTTTACGGGTTCGCTAAACCAGACGCCAGTGACTGCGCTGTCTCTGGAGAATCTGACAGCAGTTCGAGCGAGTCCGATAGTGAAGAGAGCGCTGATGACTCCACAATGGAGTGGAGCATGAATGAAGACGAACCTTATAGCAAGGACGAAGATTTGTCAGCTACCGCTGGTGCATACCCTCTTCGCGGCGAGGTGGCTGGTAGCGCGACTCGTGGCTACTTTCAGGCAAAGGTGCGAGACAGTCGCACTTAAGGGTGTAAATGCACGGGAAAAAACCACTGGATGGCGGAGCCTGCTGCTTCTCTGGAGCTGCTGATGTCCAATGTGGCAGCTATGCCCAGGCCAGCAAGAAAGCAGTACATTCTGGGTGAGTTTGCTGCAATGGTGAATTTGTCGACGTCGTCACGTGCGCATGTTGACGGCACTATTCTGGGTCAGCCCTCATGCAGGAAAGAATTTCTAAAAGTCCATGGGATTTCTAAGAAGACCCTGGAAGTATTGCTTTCATGTGTTGAGCAACAGCATACACAGCCTTCTCTCTATGGCACACTGGGTCAAGCAGCTCCAAACAGGCTTGACCCAGCGACAACTGACCAGATGAAACATTTTCTGAACAACTTTGCATCTTGTCATGGCCTACCACAACCTGCGGCAGCAAGGGGTAGAGGTAAGCCTGCACCTGTGTACCTACCCCCATAAAACCGTTGTGGCATATCTGTGCTGGAGAATTCTTCGCGGATTGTCGGATGACATCACATTGTCTTTCATGCGTGTTGGACATACCCGCTGTAGTGTAGAAGCGAAATTCGGAAGGCTGAAGCAGTCCTTCCGAAAGTCAGAAGTTGACACAATGTCTGATGTAGTGACCACTATTGACGAGTCCTGTGAAGTTAACATTCCACTGCGCTACTGCTGGTCCTGGCAAAAATGGGACACATTTCTTGCCGAATTCTTTAAGCCCATTAAGGGTATTACCGGCTTCCAGCATTTCAATGTCACTAAATGCAAGCCAGGAGTTGTTCTCCTGAAGAAAAGCTGCCACGCTGCTGTGGTTGTGGAGCTCTGTCTACTACGACCTGGCAATACTGCAATCTCAGTTGCAAATGGTGGTACGCCAGTGACCCTTCCAACTGCTGGCATCTCGGATACCAGGCGGGTCTATCTGCAGCGTGAAATAGAACAAAATCTGTCTGAAGGTGCACTGCCACCCTGGTATGCAGTTGGACCAGCCAGTGAGGGCAGTGACACCACCTAGAAACAGTAAAAGTGCAAAACAGTCCATTGCTCCAACCATGTACATATTCTGTACTACACTCCATACAAGCAAGAGTAGATAAACAAGAGTGTGCAACTCCGGGATGGGTTAGCCCGCGGCGGAATTTTTTGTTGACGTAATCTTTTCGACGATGCACGCGCTGCGAGTCTTTTGGAAAGTTTTGCCTCGTGCACTTGGCCGGGCTTTACGTTACAAAGTCGGTGCCCAGCACGTGCTCTCACATTGCTCTGGGGCAATATGCTCGTTCTTCTGAAAAAAGGTGACGTCAACAAAAATTCCGACGCAGGCGGGTGCATATGCAGATTGTGCAGAAGAGATCCGGAGTTGCACACTCTTGTGTATCTACTCTATACAAGCCGTAGGAGGACAGAGAAAGTGTTTTTACTCCGAGTAAAAACACTTTCTCTGTCCTCTTTTGGTTTGAACCAGCTCTACCATTCGGTATTGAGCACTCTCTTGGACAGCCTGGAGCCTCTCTGTTTTACACTCCACACAAATAGTTACTTGACAGCATTTTTATACCACTTCCGAAGTATACCATTCAGATAGCTCTAAAACGTTGCAGGGTGAAAGTACGTTAGTTCAACAAAATTTGCTGAAAACCCAATTTCGAAATTTTATGCCTAAGCCACCTTTTAGCATGGGCCTCAACCAGCGAAATCAGCCCTTAGGGTCAAAAGTTCATTTTTGGTTGGAAATTTGTTGAAACACATCTACTGAAGGACCTCAGCCAAGAAAATGTTCAATATTCCGATTCAAAACGGGTGTACACACCAAAATACAAGGTGTACTTCAAATTGGTGCAATGCATGTATACGATGTATGTGTACAATGAATATTCAGCATTCTAAGGTGGGTGGGCAGCTTGAATACCTTTGAACTAGTGAAGCATGCAGCTATAATGACAAAGAATAGCTGATGAGTGTGGATAAATGATCCACATATACGTAGCTGCACCCTGCTTGGAGTCGTTCCGCAATCTCGTCTTCCATTTCTTCCTCCACAGCTGAAGACAGGTTGTCGCTGCCGTCACTAGCCCCAGACTCAGAATTTATCTCAGGTGACGACTCCTCATCTTCCTACTCTGACAAATCATCGGCCACCTTGAGCCGCATCGCAGCAGGAGATGACGGCTGCGATTCCGCCTCGCTGTCGACATCGATGTTGGAACCGAAGAACGTCTCATCCTCACTCTGAACTTCAGCGGCTACTTCAGCATCCGCTCCCCACCAGGCTAGAGCTAGCTGTACTGAATGACTGCCGTGTGTGCTCTGCGAACAGCTCTGGCGTCCGCAGCCATCGCAACAAGATCAAGGAACATTCGAGTCGCCACTTGACACCACTTCTTCAAAATAAATTACTTCAACCAAGGAGTTCAAGAAGAACTCGTCGCGCTGTTTGCAGCGCGATCAATGAGCGCAGTGTAATGGTGGAGGTGACTCAACATTTTCTTCAATGGCCGAGAGCTCTGTCGCAACCTGTAATAATATTCATTATTATTCATTATGTTATTTATAAGAAGAAAAGGAGCAAAGAGCTACAAGTTACACTATAACATCCGCTAACACCACCAGTTACTTTGCAAGCAGCTCATGGGATAGCATTGTACGCCATATTAGTAAAACATTCTCAGACCAAAGTCAGCGCGGCGGTGGGCATACAATTTTATTGTGGGTTCTTTAGTAGTTTCGTCTCGTACCTATGTCAGTATCGTGATGGTGAAGTGGACAGGATGATGATCTTCCTCTAGGCTTTGTTCGGCCGACTTTGCTTCTTTCTCGTCGAAAAGTAATGCTGAGAAAGAGTCGATTGGCAAAATTATGTTGATTTTCAACTTCAATGAAAGTGATGACATGCGATTGCTGGCTATGTGCTTTGTTGCCGAGGGACATAGCTCGTGCACATGTCCGTGGTGCATTCCTTATCCTGATTGGAACTTTGTGCATCTGAGCCTTCCTAGTTGGAATGATGTTGTACTATCATACAAGAGGCAGGATCATAATCCAACTGCCTAACAGTGATTTTACACACCAGACAGTGCCAGAAATCACTGTATATCCCATGATGTCTATAGACGTCATCAGCGCATGGGGGGCATTTTCAATGACGTCCATAGACGTCATCAGCGTTCAATGGGTTAATCAAAGCAGGCAAAGAAGCATGCAACTGCAACAGTAAGCATAGCAGTACATCCATTTCATGGTTTGTGTACTGTATGTTGTGCTAGCTTAAGATTCTTCTCTTCTGAACATGATGGTGTTGTTGTTCTTGTCTTCTCCCTGAAACAGCATTGACCATGGACACCATGTGCAATGACACTCTTCAAGTTGCCAATGGCAAGATAACATACCCTTCTGGATTGCAGTTCCCATCGGAAGCATTCCTCTCATGTGACACAGGATATGACAAAAGTTCAGCCGGAAAATACGCGAGTTGTCCAGAAGAAGGTGATGACTGGTCAGACGTATCAGGGCAGGTTTGCAATGGTAAGGGCTCTTTATAGCACAGGCACATCAGGGACGTAGGCAGGGAGGTGTGTGTGTGTGGGGGGGGGGGGTGGAGGATGGGGTGAGGGTGTGTGTGTGTGTGTGGGGGGGGGGGGTGTGGGGGGGGGGGGGGGCAGGGCATAGCTTAAGGATTTCATTTAGCTCAGACAAATGTCCTTCCGTTTTGAAATCTGTCCGGACACGCCCGGACATTTTCCACAACACATTTTCAGGGTGTTTCTTTTTTGTCAGTAGTAGTACTGAAGTATATTCACAATGACTCATTATGTGGACGTATCTCACGCATAGTAATGTACAATTGGCAATTTGTACAATTTGTATTAGAAACTGAACTATTTACTGACGACAAATGTATGTACAAGAAAGCGTTGCAGTCAAGAATTTTGCAAACGCGATTTGCTCCTTGCAGAGAAGGTAAGTCAGTTCGAATTTGCGTCGTGCAATAGCGGCAGCACCATCGTCCATCTTGCACAGTGCCTTCGCAATTGGAGCGAATTCGAGGGCATTTCGAGCGGGACACTCTTGCCTGCGGAAAAGATTCATTGCTCGTTTATGCATCTCCGTTCCAGCATGATCCTTGAATGCTGATGTTCTCAGGTTCTTGGATCCGGTTATGAAAGCCTCGTTGAAGTTTTTACAACTGCGGACTCTGTCTACAAACTTGATGCACCCGGAACACTTCAAACATTCTGCTAACAGCCGATCGTTCTTCTGCCGGTCATAAATCAGCCAGGCGGAAGTAGTCAGCTCTGCATCATTGTCCGAGAACCACTTATCGCAAGTAGCGGCCTTCACACCACGGACATTTTTGCCCGGCGGCAAGTCCTCTGAATCTCCCTTTCGCTTTCCGGAAGACATTCTAAAAGACTATCTGCATTCCTGGTCAGTGAAAGAGTGAAAAATAAAAGATGACATCTTCCTCTCAAGAGCGAACAACTGCACTGCAGACTGCAGTTCAACCCAACGATTCAAGTGGGAAGTCGACACAATGTACCAAAGGTCGAAAGTGTGAATTGACTGTAGCAACCGTGTTGCTACAGGTGGATCAAGTAAATCTGGTGAAGTCTACGCCTGAGGCTACGGTGTAGATGTGCTAGTTGTACGATATGCAAGTCACATTTGGCACGAAGCTCCGAAGAAAGCCCAACTCTGCATAAAAAGGTCGAAAGGTCGCTGCGCTTTTTTTCCTTTTTGACCGGACACTATGTCCGGTGAAATTGAAAACGTCCGGTCAGTGGCCGAAAATGGTCGGAAAATGTCCGATGTCTGGCCGTTAATCTATGCCCTGGGGGGGGGGGGGAGAAACCTGACCTAAGTTGGACAGACACCTATGGCACGTGGCCTGCTGACCACACGTGCAACTCTGCAGAACGCGCATTGACCATGTAGATGTCCACAACGGTCCCAGTTTAGATGTTCATGTATGTGTTTTCCATCATCTGAAATCAAACTACTGCTAAGGGTCTGTAGTGGCACGGTGTGAGCACTTGCTTGGTGCATAGCAGTATAGCACCTGCCGGAAATGTGTTTAGTAGCGGCGCCAAAGCGGGATTCGCTGCCTCATTACCGGGTGTGCCGGGGAACATGGGATTGCAAAGTAAAGGTGTTCGCAATGGCGGTTCAGTGGCACTTGGCTCATATTTCGTAGTGTAAGAAACCTGTCACGTGACTCTGCGGAGAGGGGATACGTCTCTCAACCAGACAGCCGTGTAACTTTATTTAGTAAAGTTGGTAAGTTTGATCAACGGGTCAAGTTTGCTGTACTACCCAAGGAGACGAAGAGAAAGAGAGTCCAAAATTCTGACTGTTTGAGTGCTCATATCCCAGCGATTTAGAAGTTGCCGCCGCACGTTGAGCCTTGAGTGTGAAAAGATTTAAAATCGCTCTGGGAAGCCACAATTTAACCCTTTGGAGTCTATAGCTTTTTGCTTCCTCGGAATTTGTGGCAGTGACGAAAATTCGCACTCAATTTCAAACATGACTTTGGTTATACTTCACCGATTTTGAAGATCTTGGGCTCGTTGGAAAGCTCTTGATGAGAGAAATACAATGAGCCCAAACTCGCCAAGAGCAATACTCATTGTCCGCCACAACGCGCTCCAAACGCGAGTCCAGCTCCAGATCTGAGACGAAATCGGTCTCCTGCAGCCATTTCACTGAATCTAGCTCGGAACTGTTCAAATTTTTTCGAGTAGAAGCTTACCTTGCCGTGACTTCGCGCTGTTCCGGTCCTGGCACGTGCCGCCAGTCATGAAGCTGGGAAAATCCCTTTTTTCACGCACTGCTGACTCGCAGCACGCAGCGCAGAAAATTCAAAATGTTTGATCGCTCGCCGCTCACTCAAACTTAATCGGAGAGACATCGGACCTGTTCGAGGCAATAGCTGAGAGTTTTCTCTACCACCTAGACCCTTTGATTCTCGAATTTGGCCGAGAAACGAAAGTTTGGCTGCACCCACATGCATACAAAATGCCCATGGTTCGAAATCGAACCATGGACTCCAAAGGGTTAATGACGCGGAGGAAGTAGTAAGGTTGCATGCTCGACATGACATTTTTCTTCTTCTTTGTGTGTGTCTGTGTGTGTTTTTTGTTGTTGTTGTTGTGTTGTTGTTGTGTTGTTGTTGTGTTGTTGTTGTGTTGTTGTTGTTGTTGTTGTCGTCGTCGTCGTCGTCGTCGTCGTCGTCGTCGTCGTCGTCGTCGTCGTCGTCGTCGTCGTCGTCGTCGTCGTCGTCGTCGTCGTCGTCGTCGTCGTCGTCGTCGTCGTCGTCGTCGTCGTCGTCGTCGTCGTCGTCGTCGTCGTCGTCGTCGTCGTCGTCGTCGTCGTCGTCGTCGTCGTCGTCGTCGTCGTCGTCGTCGTCGTCGTCGTCGTCGTCGTCGTCGTCGTCGTCGTCGTCGTCGTCGTCGTCGTCGTCGTCGTCGTCGTCGTCGTCGTCGTCGTCGTCGTCGTCGTCGTCGTCGTCGTCGTCGTCGTCGTCGTCGTCGTCGTCGTCGTCGTCGTCGTCGTCGTCGTCGTCGTCGTCGTCGTCGTCGTCGTCGTCGTCGTCGTCGTCGTCGTCGTCGTCGTCGTCGTCGTCGTCGTCGTCGTCGTCGTCGTCGTCGTCGTCGTCGTCGTCGTCGTCGTCGTCGTCGTCGTCGTCGTTGACGTTGTCGTTGTTGCTGCTGCTGTTGTGAAAACACAGCTATCATTTGCCCTAAGCCCTCAATAATGAATGGCCGACTAATTGGTACTGCTCCGAAATTCTTCGTAGTCTGCAATGCAGACCATGTCATTACAGGAGACCCTGTTGTGTCGTGTACAAGCCATAATACCACAACTATACTTCCATCTTGTCAACGTTAGTATACTTGAATTCTTGATTTGGATTGTAATTTTTGGGACTGTGCTCTTCGAATTTGAAAATAAAAGATGATAATGGTAAACATAGCCAGCAATCGCATGTCCTCACGTACATTGAAAATCAAAATAATGTTGCGAATCGACCTTTTTTTCAGCATCACTTTTCAACGAGGACGAAGCAAAGTCCGCCGAACGAAGCCTAGAGGAAGGGAATCACCCTGTCCAGTTCACCATCACGATACTGACATAGGTACGAGACGAAACAACTAAAAAATGTACAAGAAAAGTGTACGGCCATCTTCGTGCTGACTTTGGTCTGAGAATTTTCTGTCACGATCAAAAGTGTACAAGAAGCACTCAAAATAAGCTACACGCGTACCTTTATCGCTCTCTACTCCTTTTTCAGGGCACAAAAGTCGACTGTCCACTTTCAAACCAGGAACCAGACATACCAGTGGTCCTTTTCAGCTGCTCCACGAGCACAGGTAATGTTCACCAAGGGGGCGCAGAGCAGCATCCATTCCCGAAAAAGAGCTAAGATACGTGTGAGACTGCATGCCTGAGTACATGAGTACATGCAGGAGTATTATTATTATTATAATGCATTCCCGCGGCAGCGTCAACAGTGGAAATGCAAGTCGCCCATGTGCAAGTCACCCATGTAACCAAGTCACCCATGTCACCCATGCACAAACACGCACAAACATGCACAAACACAGTCCACACGTTCGCTTATGCTGGACATGGTAATACATGCATGAGTACATGCAGAAAATAGTCGATTTCAGCGTTTCTGCTCCAAACAGCAACTAGCTTCGACTAGCTACAAAGATTACACTAAAGGATCAAACAACCACCATTTTCTTTAGTTTTTTGGCAGATGGCTTCCTTGTGCTTGGCCAAGCACACTTCGGAGGAGTACAAAAATTACAACTCTCAGATGTCCTTGATTGCTGGCCATGAAAAGGAGTAGGACAAAATGTAACGAGTTATGACTAACTGTCCACCAACGTAACCAGATTATATACAATCAGCGAGTGCGACAAAATGGCACAAAACTGACAAGAAGTACTGAGACATTCAGCAACCTGACACTTAGCTCATACACCTCTCCAAGATAATAAATTGCGCAACAGATTGCGTATGTCCATATAAAGGGATTTCAAGAAAGTCCGAAAATCAGTACCATACCGGGGCACTATTTTTTTCAATTTCAATCACAGATGGGGCACTATTCAAGAGAGGGCACTATTCAAGAGAGGGCACTATTCAAGAGAGGGCAACATTCAAGAGGGGACCTACTTCCTCCGTTAACAAAAACTTCGTGATGGATTTTTGAGGGGCTGGTTTGCGCACAAACTGCCGTGAAATGAGTCGCAATCACTTTCTTGGCCTTCCCTGGAGGCCCAGTGGCGGGGCATGAAGAAGGTACGATTCAAGGAAAGCGACCTTTCACAACAAGCCGAGCGGAATCGATGGTTGCGCTGTGGAAACATAGGTGATGACAGTTATGGCGAGCGAAACTGAAATACCACTTCTCCGAGGGTATATTGCGTTGCCAAGCCTCTCTACTACTCTAGCACTGAGTAAGTTGGAGAGTGATAAAGAGCGATCAAACGGAGCAACGAGTCCACACAATGAGCGAGTGAACAAGGAGCTGCTCCGATCGCACGGCTCAATGAAAATAATTCTGAGCTCAAGTTCTTGTTCAACCTGCGCAAAGCCCAGATTCGAATGCTGATGACCATGTATTCTTTCAGAAGTCTGCAGTCCGATGCAAGTCTCGTGGCTAAAGAAAGTCGACTGGACTAGCTAGCTGCCGCCGTTCAGTGCTGGCAGGGGATCCATCAGAGTTTGATGGATACCCCTGTTTTGGCTGTGCCTCTACTCCTCGTTTCGCGGAGATCTGGAGAGCGAAGATGAAACCAGGGAGTCGTAAAATATTTTTACGACTCCCTGGTGGAAACGAGGAATCACCATCGCGGTGGATCACGCAGCTTGAAAGCCAACTTACTTGAACGACGGCAACATCAAGGTCAGCGGAGTCTGATCAAAGAAGCCGAGGCAAGGCTGAAACGAGCTGAACAATGATTCGAGAGAGATGACGACTCGCGTGCAGCAGATGACGACAGCGACGCAGGGTCAAAAATGAGTCGAGCGAAAGCGACGCAAACTGAACTCTCTGCTCATTCCGCCAACAGATTCTCTTGTAAAGACGCTGTACATGGCTGAATCACCTTCGTCCAGTAATTTGCAGTCGATACAAACTGTTACTCACCTGTTCTAAGCGCTTTCATATCCATCAAAATCCATCACGAAGTTTTTGTTAACGGAGGAAGTAATTTTTTCACTACTGGTACTTTTACGTTATCCCGCATAAAAAAAAGAATGCAAAGAAAGAGCCTAAAGTTGTAAACTATCACGACTCAACAGAAAGGGCGACAAGAACTGTGATTGTGATCCTTAACCCCTTCACTGCTGGCCTAGTTTCCCCCTGCCGGCTAAGCTTTCAGCACACTTGCTTTCATTTTGAACCCTGCATGCAAGTCGTCGAGCAAAATCTTTCACCATTTTTGATTTTATTGATGGATTTCCATGATCTATGGCTTGTTGGAAAGGCCTGAGCCAAGCGAAGACTCCCTGGTAGTTCTCAGCTCTACGGGCATGCGAGGGTCACTTCTGTGTGCTCTAGAAAATGCCCTTCCTTGTCTCAGAATCGCTAATCAACTATATAATACATTTTTGTTCCCCATGTCGCTCAAACTAAACCAAGCTTCACGATTCAAACTGCATTGTAATGCTGAGATCCAAGCGCTTTGTTTGATGTCCAATCCGCATCCGCCGTAGCAAAGGGAAATCCCCTACCTGTAAAAAAGGGAGTCGCGAGCAAAACGTTTGAACAGAGGGCCAGAAAGCGTATTTATGTTTTGTTGTAATTCTTTTTGCCAGCTAGCCGGCCTCTGCGTACACCGAAGGCACACCCACACACAACAGGATTGACTGCAACAGAATTGAAGTGCTCTGAACGGCTGAAGCAAGCGCATGTAGTCAAGAGAAGTGACAAGTTTAGGGTTCACGGCTTGCCACTAAAAGCACCCGTCACGTGCGCCTCCATTTTGGATTATGGACGCGCGCTACAGGCCGCGACAGCGCCTATCGAAGTAAAAAAATATCGACTCGAAGTCTAGCCGGAGAGCGTACTTTTTGAATTTTTCCTTGGCTTCAGTGGCTTCACTTCACTCGGGCTTTGCATTTTTCTGACTGACCTGGACTTGATGATGGCGGCGGTCGCAGTTTTGGCGAAAGATCCAGCTCCATCTGAGACACTCTGTCGTCTTTTCTTATCTGCTGAGGTTCTGGCAAAGCGCAGCTGCATCGAACCTGACTAGATGTAGCTGCACGCATCCTTTGTTTGCCCTGCAAATCTCGATCTGTTGCTCTTCTTGCTGTTTGGCCGCTGATGCCATGGAAGAAAATATTCTTCCTGTAAAGAGGCCGAAACTGAGCTAGGGCACGTCAAGATATCTAGGGTATACAAAGAAAAAGAAATGTCATGGTCGTTTCAGCAGCTCACGACAGCCAACACGCTCCATCGTCGGGATTGGAAGTATCCAGCACGGCTGTTCCGAGCGCTGCTGCTCTTGTTATTCTTCTTCTTCAGAAATTCTCCACGCCTTGTCGGCCAAAGTACGCGCGCGCGTGCACGGAAAATAGATGCGCTGAGCCGTTTCTTGTTCGATTTTGACAAATAATGGCTTGTTGTTTTGCTCTCGACCTTGGCTATCCTTCTACCGTTCAGTATTTTACGGAAACGCAACGGCTCCCCCTGTTTTTTTAGCCGAACTTTGGCCAAAGTTACTGGAAAACCTGGAACTCGTTTGAAAAAATACGAACGGTGGAAGTCTTGGAACGTCTTTCGTGCGTGTGGATTCAAAAATTCAGGCAGTTTGAGCCAACCGTAATGAATCCCGTAGAGTTGAAAGTGAGTGATATTGATGGGAAAATGCGATTTGAGCACTGACCGATTGTGTGGTACAGTATATGCACGCGCCTGTCACGTGCATGATGTAGCTGGCGACGTTAGCATGCCAATCCGTGAACCCTAAAGTTACAGTGCAGGAAGCGCTACATGCACTTGAGTGAGGTGTACTTTGCTTGCATGAAAGTATTCTATGCTCCACGCCTGTCAATAGGAGTACATGTACGTACACGATCCGATATGCCACGAATGTATGAGACCTGGTTCTAAAGACCACCTGGCTTTAACGACCGCTTTTGTTTGCACCTGGGGGGGGGGGGGGGGCTTAAGCCAGGTTTTACTGCAGCTGTATTTTGCATTGTCAAATGAAGTGGACGTGCAATCAAGACGGCAGAGGACTTTTACGGTACCTGCGAGGTTTGTTTAAATTATTTCAGTGAGTTACTTGTGAGATACACATCGGTCGAGATTTTGGAGGATTTTGACCGTCTGTTGTGAACCCTCTGGTTCTCTAAAGTGTCAGGAACGAACGACCCCACACGGCACGAGGACAACTATTTATTCTCAACAGTATATTTCACTTCCATCGACTAATACTAATGAACAATGAATGAACAACTGAATAACTAACACTAAAACCACCAGGTAGTTATAGCGTGAAAATGACAGCGTATATGAGAAAGCATACACATACAACATACAACTACAGCGCACACAGCAAACGGCACATAGCGCATGTAGCGTATACTACGTCGTAATCATCAGCGGTACTGCGGAGTCGGGATACAACTGCATTGACACGAACACAATGTCACAAGCGAGAAGGCCTTTCACTCTCGAGAACTTGTGGTTTCACAACATTCTCCCCACCAAAGGGCTTCTCACCGCCGTACTACAACTCACAAGTCAAACGATTTGGGGCTTACTACGCGTCATCTTCTGCTGCGGTGGTGGCCATGGTAGAATATCACTAATGCCTACCACTTCGGCCAACTCGATTTCGCGAAGCTTGCCGCTGT